AAAAACATGGACGAAATCAGTATCACCCAAAAACTTCATGTACTCGTTAACACACAAAAAATTTAAGGCATTCATAATCAAACATAATAAGAATCATAACAACACACAAAATTTAGAAGTAAATCACATTGATACTCAAGATGGGGCCAATAGGATTACACAACTTGACAAATCTTTGGTGAATAACTCCTAGGTCCACTTACCATATTGGTCCTCACACTTTCATAGAGTAAAAATCATTTATATTTGGACTCATTTTGACGGTCTTAAGTGAAATCATGTATATAAATATGAATATTTCAATAAAGAAGTTGAATTATGCATATTTGGAGGTGCAAATTGAAAATTATTTTTGGTTATGTGTTGACAAGAGTAATTAAGAAAGGCGGAATAGCTAAAGACTACACAATAGTAAGATCATTTATAATTTTCCATGCAAATTTAAGCTAATCGAATCTTAAAATAAATATATAACCTCAAATAGAAAATAAAAAGAGACATCTAATATTATATCATCTAAGATTATGATAGAATAGTAAATATCTCTTTATTTTATCATAGATTTTAAATTTAAATCTTGAAAATAAAATTGACTTTGATAAAAACAAATTTATCCCAAAATTAAGTGACTCTCCCAACACATATCTAAATTTATTAATCCCTAAGCGAATATGAAACTTTGAATATAATATTAAAAAAAATGAGGCATGCAATCATCAAAAATTGTAGTTGGTATGGATGGCAAAATACCTATATATCTTTAATTAAAGATATCAAATTTAAATTATCAGAGTCAAATTACCTTTGGTAGAAAATATTTTATATTCAGAATAAGAATTTAATACGCAAATAAATTAATTAAGTTGTAAACTTGGGATGAAAATAATAATAAAGAAGGCAGCTAGTGTATCTTCATTCATTGTAAGGAGTCTGTGGTGGATGGGAGATTTTTTTTAATAGTGGCTAACTCATTATTACTTCCTCCGCTTTAATTTATTTATCATATTTTACTTGATATAAAAAAGTTTTAATTTTTTTTTAAAAAATAAATCTAAACTAAAAATATTAAAATGTACTCAAATATTCTTTAATTTTATTTCTTAAATCTATCGCATGAAAAATTAAAATTAAAAATTACTAAAAAATAAAATAAAATATTTTAAAAAATAGATAAAAATAAATATGACAAATAAGAGTATTATATTCTTTTAAACTTATCAGCTGTATGATTCATTGATTCTAATGTCTCTTTTCTCTACTAGCCGCCTTACCCCACAACACTTAATTTATAACCTAATGTATTTATTTCAAAAAGGCACAAATATCTTGTGCTACTTGCAATTTTAAGAGATACTTTATAAAGAAAATAATATCATAAAGTTAACTATGAATTTAGAAATCAGTGCTAGTTCAATCAATCATTTTTAGCTACGAAGTATTGATGAAATTGTCTGGAAATAGAACTTCAAATCCTAACAATCGATTTTGGATGCAACAAACTATAGAGATTTACAGGTGACAAGATCTCGAAAGATATTCGAGACTATATCAAGTCGTGAAAAAGACACATTGATTAAGTGTGCTTCAAAATTAAGATTTCATTATTAACCTACTAGAAATTTTAGTATTAGATTTAGTTGATAATTTTTGTTTGTAATTTTATTTAGGATTTTAATTAAATGTTTCAAAAAATACAATAGCCTATGTGATACGATTCTTCAATTAGTAATTCTCATTGACGATATATAATTAGATGAATAAATAAAAATACGTCCTCATAAGTTTGTAAAATAAAATAAAATAATTATACATTTCAATATGATATCAGAATGAGTAAAATGTAAAAGTCACAAATATAAATTTGGCGGCTACTATTTATTATTCAATTTTTTCTTTTAAGATGTAATTATTTATAAAAAATAAAATAAAATCAAACTCCATATATGACTACATATTTTTACCCATATAATTAGTATTAAATTAAATAAAAGTTTTGCAAGCTTATCCACATTCTCAACACGCTTTGGCCACACCCTGCAATTCAGCAGCCATGGACCAATGAATTGATATGGTTTCGTTTTATATTAGTTGTCATATTTAAAATTATAAGAGTTATAATATTATAATTGTTTTAAAAGTATTATATATTACAACTCTTTTTGTATTATTAATATAATAAAAATATATATCTTAAAACGTTCAAATTAATATATATAGTTTAACTATTGAAAAGTAAAATATAATAAATATTTTGCAACGATATAATATCTATCTTTATCTCTTTCTTTTTACTATCACTACAGGAAAAGTGTGAATTCCATGAGGATTTTCCTAGGGATTAGTATGAAAATCCGCAGGTAGCTTATTTTCCTGCAAATTTTCATATTAATCTCCAGGAAAATCTTCATGTAATTCACCATTTTCTAGTAGTGTATATATTAAGGCCAAAAAAATAATTCTTTTGTATTTTGATGTGAGAGGTGAAAGTATCGTGAGGTATAACTTCATTGATGTTCTAAACGTATGATGAGGTGAAATTGTGATTTGAGACACAATTTATTTTTTTAAAAAAAATGAATTATTGTTTTCTTACTTGTTCAGAAAAGTGATCGTATTTAAATTCAAATTCGTATAAATAATTAAACAGGTAAGACAATTTTTTTTATTATTATATAAGGAACAAAATAACGTAAATCTACTACTCTATTTTTGTTTTAACATTAAGCTAAGCCAATAAATTGAATGTATTAATTCTTAACTGTCATGATAGTGATATAAGAAAAAAATCGACTAAATGCATTTAAAGGAACAAGAAATCAAGAACATATAAAAGGATAAGAAAACCAACATTAATTAGTGATGTGAAAGAAATGAAAAAAAAAAATTAATCCATCCTACATTTTATTTGATTTCGCGCTTCGAAAAATCATTTTTAACGGATAGATAAGATTAAGTCTTCATATTCAATTCGAATTATTCATTGAAAGTGCTAATTTAGATCAAATCGAATGTAAATATCAACGAATTTTCCTATTAAGATTGAACTTATAAACTACGTAGTAGAAAAGCCATTGGCTTGACTATATATCTTGTGCCAAGTCTATTGTATTTAGAAAATTTGTGTGGTCATTAAAAATGACTGTCTCTCTCAATTTTGGTTGATATACGCAAATATCTCTTTTTAAAATTTTTATTTAGATAAAAATTTTATTTTTATTTTTAAAAGCTATGTGAATATATATAGTTTCTACAAAATTTAAAAGCAAGTTGTTTGGAGGCAAATTTTCATTGAACCTAATTGGTATGGATAAGATAATTTCTTTGATATTATCAGTCTCAACACGACCTTGCTTGATCAAATGAGAAGATTAAAATAGTGTATTTTTATTTTACATACTAAGTCTGATTTCGATTATTAGTTCCTCTACTTTCAGATAACAGACTCAAATCTTATGAGTTTAGATCATAATTTTAGTAACATACTTTCGGATAATAGACTCTAATCTTGTAAGTATCAATATATATGTTGAGTTTATTAATTGAACATTTGTTGAGTTTATTTGGCTAATTATAATACTCAATTAAATATCAAATAGTCAATGTAAAAAATTATGAAGTTAGTTTACCTAACGATTGTCAAAGCTAATAGAATCCTTTAGTTAGAAAACTATAGTAATTCTTTATGAATTACAATTTGACAGAAAATATAGTTAATTCTTTATAAAATATAGTTTGAGAAAAGATATACTCCACCCAACATATTTTGATCGGTCATAAAATTTAAGAAATAAAAAATAATTATTTTAAACATGTCATAACATATGTATGACTATAATATTTTGGAATTTATAATTTAACTGTACCATATAATCTACGTGGCTAAAAATTTATTTCAATAAGGTAAAATATAAAAAGTTAAAATTTAATTGTACTTTTCAAATATAAAATTATATTATTCTTTCTGAAAACACGATTAATAAAATGCATGCTCTACCTTAATCTTTAGAGAGAGTAGAACGGGAAAGAAAACATCCTTTGACCTTAAGAAGTTAGGCAAGGTGACAAGACTTTGATGCAAGGTTAAGCATATAAAAAAAATTTAATATCAAACAAGAGCGAGAGTAATTATTAATTTGAAAGAACATGTATTACTGAAGAGTCGGATTTGAGATATTTTGATTCATCAATTATCTATATTGACTTGTCGTACTCTTTATACAATTTTGAACTAGTTAGATTTTACTTCAAAAAATTTAAAGAATCTATATCTAAATTTATAATCTAATTTAAATATTTTGACTCTAGCTCACACTCCTAACTCAACAACATCAATAATAATAATAACATATTTTATATAATTTTACAAGTAAAGCCAATACTCATCTTATTCTATTTCCGTGAGATAAAAAAATTATTTTCAATATAAAAGAAGCATTATATTTTATTTTCACACATGTAACAATAGGTGGCGTGGCTGCTTAGAACTGTCAAAAACTATAGACTAAAAAATATAAAATACTTTATAAAGATAAAAAGAGAACAAGTTGCACCCAAAATTACAAAATATTTTTTTAAAATATAAATAAAAAAACAAGTTGCAACCCTAAATTAAATAACACGTTAAAGAACATTTCTAAGTAATCCATTTATTGACCATAGACTCAAAACCAAGTCAATTATATCCTTTGTTGACTCTTCCTTCATAGTACGTATAACACTTGCGTTCTCCATTTAAGAAAGACTCTCTCAATTTTCGATAATTTTTAATTTTAATTTTTATTATATGACATGTTAAAAATTATAAAATTAACAAATATTTTAATATATTTAATATGTTTTTAATTTAAAATAATAGAATTTAATATTTTTTTTATTTTCTTAAACTTCGCATCAATACATAGGAAGTCTTTTGTTCCAATTATTTAATGTCTTTTGTTTTCCCCTCACTATAAATACAACTGATATTTTGCATATCTTTCACAAAAACTACATACTTTTTTGTGTCATTCATTTCATTTTCTCTTCTTCCAATTATTTAAAAAAAAAAAACTCTTTTTAAGTTTTTAAGTCATCATGAACCCATCAGCTCAACCAGCTTACGGCGAAAAACCAATGACCGGCATCCCCGTGCCGGGCCAATTTCAAGCTAATCATCCCGGAACTTGGTCCACTGGACTCTGTGATTGTTTCTCCGATGTCCCGAATTGTAAGTGTTTATTTTCTTGATTTTTATGACACTATTTTCCTATTAGTTCGTTTTTAAAAAAAATGTTATCTTTATATTACACGTGACATTATTATTATATTATTAGTTTTTTATCGAAAAATTATACTACGTATTTTTAATTTGTGATTATTAAACTATTTTTTTTTTCAGGTTGTTTAACTTGCTGGTGTCCATGTATTACATTTGGACAAATTGCAGAGATTGTCGACAAAGGGACCGTTTGTAAGCAATTTATATCCATTCGTTAAGAAGTGGTCGTTCAAAATTAAATTTTTATAGTGATAGAAGTAAAACTGCATAAACGCTATCCTCTCCAGATCTAGTTATAGAATGAGGAAATAAAACAAAGAGATTTGAAAAAGAAAAGAAAACTTATTTCAAGAAAATTTAACAACATATATGTATACGAAGAAAAAAAAAGATCATTTTCTCCCTACTTATATAGTATATTTTTCAACAAAGACGATTCAGTTAACCCCTCTCTATATGTACATATGTACAAACCTCTGAAATTTCACTGAATATATTAGTATTCATGTTATGGTTGTTATTATCAAGACAATATGAATTATAATTTTAAAGATATTTACATAATAATAAAAGTTAAAAGACAATAATTACATGGCCCACTCTATAATTATAGCCATTTATTTAAAAAATAAAAATAAAATTATAGCCATTTATTATTTTTGACTTATATAATATACTATTATTGATTATTTGACTTCTTCACTACTATATTAACTTTTTTTATTATAGTCAGATAAATATTCATAACTTTTTTTAAAAAATTCGTGTTCAGTCAAATATTATCGTATTTATGACTTGTGAATGTAACTATTTGCAGCTTGTGGTGCAAGTGGAGCTCTATATTTTTTAATAGAAGCATTAACAGGATGTGGATGTATTTATTCATGTTTTTATCGTACAAAAATGAGAAAACAATACATGTTACCAGAAAGCCCTTGTGGGGACTGTTTGCTTCATTTTTGCTGTGAATGTTGTGCTTTATGCCAAGAACATCGTGAACTCAAACATCGTGGATATGACATGTCTATTGGTAAGTAATATTCAACTCGTTTTTCGATCGATATCTGTTTTAGACTCGACTAGTAAAATTTACTTCAAAATATTTTACTTTTTGAGGGTGTACGACTCGATTTAGAATTCTAATTAAGGATGAAAGAGTATTACTTACACCCTACGTAGTACGTACTACAAAAGTTTAGTGGTGCAATAATTAATATTTTTTTATATGTATCAAAAGTCTTTTTTCATTCGTAAACTATTTATTCAGTGATTTCAATCAAATATCGTTATATAATATAAAACGAACAATATTTCTTAATTAAATTTTTGAGATATACTTATGGTTGTTGTGCTTTACAAATATATGTATAGGTTGGCAAGGAAATATGGATAACCAAAATAAAGGGATTGCAATGGCTCCAGGAGTTCAAGGAGGAATGACTCGATAAATATTGGATTATTTATAATAATAATAAAATTTGAATTTGTTCAGTGTGATTTATATTTAATTAGTTGTTCTCTTTTTGTTATTTAAAGTGAAATAATGGTTTGTTAATCAAATGGATGGTTCTTGTTTTTTGCAAGATGTAATATAATGTTGGTTGTTGGTTATCCTGATTTTATGTATATGATATTTATAATTTATTTCCTATTGGGAAAAGTCATAAGTTACCTTATAAAGTTGTTTAATAAAGTCATTTATATGTTGATATTTTACGACAATCTATCGTCATCCTATTATTGTTTGAAGTGAATTTAAGGCCAAAAACTAATATGACAGGAAAAAAAAGTATACATAAGAAATAGATGTTTGAGTTAAATTAGGTATTAGGCGTAATCCACATTCTAAAATATAGCTTAAAGGGAAGGTGAATTGTCTAGGTCTTATCAGGAGTCTAGGTATATTTGATTCCTTCATTGGTATGATGTGTGCACATTCATGGACCAAGATATTCCACCCTCACAACTATCCGACTTTTTGAGAGCCTGCATTCGATCTGACTCTGATATCATGTTAAAATGAAAATGCAGAAATTTGTTATTCAATATCATCTCCTTTTATAGTCTGACTTCTTTGTTCAAATAAAATTACAATAAATAATTACACGACTATCGTAAACCGTATTTACTTCATTAGAGTTCTATTTAAATAAATATTAATAATCAAATTTTCCTTTGCAATATTGTTCTAATCAACAATAATTAGTTAAGCTATTATATTAGTGGTGGTGATATTGTGATTTCTAGTGAAGGAATTAAAGGTATGGTGGAAGGTGGTGAAATTGAGTGATGGTGTTGTGATACTTGGTGGTGATGGATTTAATTTGATGACAATAGTGAAATTAATTGTGATGTTATGGTTTTGGAGGTGTATGTATGGTGAAATTAATGGTGGTTATGTGACAAATTGGCTAGTGGATAATGAAAAAATAAATTTGAAAGTTGATTTTGTCTCAACAATATAATGGATAAGAAGAGATCGCAAAAAGATAGTATACAGTAGATGGGTTGCTTATTCCTTAATTATACGTTTCGGATTTGAATTTTAGATATAAAAAATTCTTGATAAAGAACATTTCCCTTTAAATGAAGCCTTATGCAGCAAGAACCAAAATTAGTCAGTCACCTGTATATACAAATACCGAACATCTGGGAAACAAAAACAATAACGGAGAAGAAGAAAATGGAGTGACTTAGTTATTTGTCATGTCATTTTTTTCTAGTATATAAAGTGATAGACCTAGCCCCACTTAATTTGTCTTTTTTTTTTACTCTGATATTCGATATTCAATTAATTTAGATCTGTATCGAAAAGTCTAACTTCATTTGTCTTTTTTTCTTTTCTTCTATTCACGTGATACGCACAGATAGACAAACCTATAGGCTATGATAGTGATAATCCAACGTTGTATCTGTATGATGAAATTGTGTTATAATTATGGATAAGAAAAATGAATGATTAAAAACACTAAGGAAAATGATATTTTTATTGACTATTCCAACTATTGAGATAGTGCGTTTTAACATCAAATAATTAAGTCACTTTATCTTATATTATTAATTGGAATTAAGATTTCTAAAAAGAAACTTATGTAGATGACATTTCATCTATTATGAAAATATTATTCCTTGAACTCTTATAAGTATGAAATTGACCACTCATCTACTCAACTTTGGATTATTTTCTACTTTTAATTTGAAGTGAAATGGACACACACGTTGTACTTCATATTCTACAATTTGTGTCATACGTGGTATCCTCAGGGGCGGATCTATGAAGGGGTGTGGGGGTGTCACTCCACCCCCAAACTTCGACGAAAACTCTATATATACATAGGTATATATATATATATATATAAAGTGTGCCACCTAGAGAACAAAATTGGCTTGTGGTGCCACGGTAGGAGGGCAACTTTAGAAGGCTGATGTTACGGGTTCGAATCCCATTTGTACCTATTTTTTTCAAAAATTTGCTGCAGACGTTTTTTAAGAAAGGCCCCCAAGCACGCTTTTTTAAGGAAAAACAGCTGGCACATTTTTTTTTTATAATTGTTAATAGATAAGTCTATTTGGCACCCACGGACTCTAAATCCTAGATCCGCCATTGGGTATCCTATATGTATTATGTTATATAGGACTCATGTATTGTTTAACTTTATATAAGTTTAAGCATCTACTTGTGCACACCCATAATTGAAGGGTATGAATATGAAATGAGGCCAAATTCAATGACATATTTATGTATTATAACTTTTATAATATATTATACCAAATACTCTATAAGAAACCAACTTTACATTATAATATTTATATTATTAATTTTTTATTATAATTTATATTTAAACCATACAACACTAATCACTGATAATGATTGATCTTGCTTTTCTATATTTCCCTTTTTAGCAAGACATAATTGTGGTAGGATGTTATTGAAGATTTTGGAGTCAAGCTCTAGAACGGAAAAGAATTTGTTGATCGCGCTACTCTATTATAATGTGTAAATTTAAATGTAATTGAACTTTTGATAAACAAACATCGAAGTGAGAAAAAAAAGAGATTAAAAACAAATTTGAAATGGTCAAACTTTTGGAGGTTCGTCTCTATGAAGAAATTTATTCAAGTGTGCCCTTCTAGTTTTAAATATAAGTATTATATATAAATATACCTTTTAACTTGACCTTAACTGACATTTATGTAGGGGTGTACTTCGATTTATCAATTTTCAATTATTAAATACGTTAAATCAATAAGATATTTTTATCTATTTTCAATTTATCAGTTTTGGTTCTTAACGGTTCAGTTTTCAGTTAACCAATAAGAAAATACATATAAAATAAATATATGACTACTCTAATAAATTTGATGCGACAACACAATAATGTAACTTTACAAATGCTCATAAAATAGAAACGCTAATAGAGTAACAAACTTGAAAAGAACTATACAAGTGTAACACAAGGAGAAATAAAGAGGGTTAGGATTCTTACTTTAAGTTTTGACGTTTTGTATAATGTGAAATTGTGAACTCAAAATCATTGTGAAGTGTGAATTGGAGGCTAAAGGACAAAGACAGTAACTAGTAAGGAATTGCGATTAATATTTAATATTTTTGTAAAAGAAAAAGTAGTGTAGTCTTAATGGGTTATCAGTTTACTCAATATTAAAAATCAATACCGAATCAATAACCTGATTTTTTTATAAAACCATTAAAAATCCGTTAATCCAATAACCCAATAATAATAAATCAACAACACATTTTTCGGTCCGGTTTATCGGTCGGCTTGATTTTTGTACACCCCTACATTTATGTCCTCGAACTTTAGGTGTGCATAAATACACAATTAAAATTATATAAAGTTAAACAAGTATATACACGTGTCCTACGTGACTTAATACATGTAAAACGTGAATTGTCACGTAAAACGCATAAGCCTCACTAAGTTGTAAAACCTTCCAATTGGGATTCATTTATATATTTAAATAAGATGATATAATTTATATGGTTAACTTAAACAACCTAATAAACGTTTGAGAATACATACAAAAGTTCATTCAAGATTTGAATCAAATGTGTCTGATAAAATTTACTAACACAAATAATTATCAATGTATTAAGTCACATGACCAACAAATTGAAACACCAACAAGAGTTGTGGTTGAGTGATAAGTACTCCTAACTAGAGGAAATTCCGATTGTTGTAAAAATTACTGAATGAATCTATTTCATTCTAATTCGATCTAAGAAGAAAAATAGCACGCTCTGTAGGATTTCAACCTACCACACCGGATTTTGGAGATCCATGTTCTACCGAACTGAATTAAGAGCACTTTCGTATTAGAGTAGATACATACGACTATAAAGAAAAATAATTCTTTTTGTACCCCCAATATATCTTGCATGTATATTCAATTTGACTCTTCGATTTGAATTCCTAAATACGAAATCACCTTCGTTAGGAAGGGATTTCCAATGCTACCTACCATTGCTGGTCTACTACAATCTACTCTCAAATGGGGTCATTAAAAGTAACAAAAAACACTTGACCAAAAACCAAAAAGGTAAAACAAGGTACAATTTCTTCACTTTCTTGTCCAACCCTTTCTTTTTCTTTTAACTTTTTTCTTGAAAAAAGAGCAACCTTTTTTATTTGACTGACAGAGGGGGAATGATGATGAGTTAGGGGGGGAAGGGGGGGATGGAGAAAGCAGAGGAAGAGTTAGAGAGAAGGAGCAAGTTCTTGAATAGTTTGATTTTGAAGAAGAAATCAGTTGAGGAGAAACAGCAAAATGGGGACTTGAATGTTCGTGTGAGAGCTTCAGATATGCCATTTTCTCTGCAAAATCATGCCTTTAAGTGTGCAAGAGACAATCTTGATGCTACTATGGCTTGTGGGAAGCTGGACAGTAAACGACTTGCTCTGGTTCTTAAAAAGGTAGTACTATTTTTCTACTTGAGTTTTTGTGTGATATTGAGGTGTTGTTTCTGGTTTATGCTTCTCAATTGTGACGTTTATGGTTTTCTTGGAGTTTTTGCATTGTGGGTTTTGTTTGATTTGCTAAGTTCTGTTGAATGTGTGATTAAAGTTTGCATTTTGATAGTTGTGAGTGTGTGTGGGGGGGGG